GGCACTCGAGCTCGGCTTGTGCGGGTGCTTGCGATTTGTGCCCGCAATGAGCTCTGACCCCCCCCCCCCTCTTTGTCGGTCCGCGCCCTTTTTCTCAGTGTATGTAGCTCTGACGTACATTCCCGGAGGAGGACTGCTGACGGGGTTTGCGATGAGGAGCGATCCGAACGTGGTATTCGGGTGATCAGATCACTACCGCCGAAACGCAAGAGCACTGCGACGCATCGGGCTCATGCTAGCATCCACCTCGCGAGCCGACCGTCTGGCTCAGCGAGGCTGCTGCGGAGCACTCGCGGGCCGATTTCTGGCCCAGCGAGGCCGCTGCGGGACACACCGGCGGCTCGGTTCGCTCCTCAACGCAAACTCGGTCGAGCAAGAGTCAGGTGTGAGAGAGAGAGATTTTTAGCAATACCAGTGTGAGAGAGAGTCTCTCGGTGTGTGTGTAAAGGCGGCGCGGCACGGTAGGTAGGATGGCAGGCTGGACATCGGTCGGCGGGCCGAGCTTGAGTTTTTCAGTGTATGTAGCTCTTACGTACATTCCCGTAGGAGGACTCTGCTGACAGGGTTAAATAAATAAATAAATAAAACGGACATCCCAAGCTAGGGCTGGGTCGAGGACAGACACGTCCCCACCTTTGCAGGATTTTGCAAAAGCGAGGGGGGAGGGCGCATCGCCGCGCGGAGAGGGCTGGGCACAGGGCACAGGGAATCTCTCTCGCATACAGGATATGCACTCGGCGGCACGAGGGCAGGGCTGGGCGTCCTATTTGTGCTCCCCCCTGGACCCCTCGCTCTCGGGCACTATTCATCTGACCACTCATCAGAGGGGCTTCTTGGCGATCGGCCGCGCTCCGGGGCAGGGCTGGGTAGGATGGGCTCGGGCCACTCGCCCGTGCGGGTGTATCCCCGCATGAGCCGGATGGAGGCCTCGACTGTCCTCGCGCGGCAGGCTCTCGAGCAGCTCGAGCAGCTCTCCCGCCGCCACCGCCGCGTCGTACTGCTCCTTCAGGCCAGGGTTTGCGATGAGGAGCGAGGCACGGGAATTTTTTTCAGCGCTACGTTCTGGCCTCGACCTCTGGCCCTCATGCCCGCTGGCCTGGGCGTCCTCCTCCCGCGCGACTTCCTCGAGCGGCAGCCGGAGCGCTGGAAAAAGTCGCAGCGCAAGCGCGGCGCGCTCCGCCAGCTCGCACGCATCAACCAGCGGCGCGAGAGGCTGGAGGCCAAGGCGATCCGGAACGCGGAGCGCGACGCGGCGCGGCAGCTCGCGAGCCGCGAGGAGGCGGTGGCGGCTGCGGGCGGCCGGCCCGCCGGGCCGCCCCCCTCGCACTGCACTCCCTTTGGGCCGCAGCGCAGCGGCCTCTGGGCAGCCGAGCTGCAGCCAAACCAGCCGCTCGTGCTCGCGCTGCCCGAGGGCGTGCGGCTGCGGCTGCTGCGAGCCTCATTCGCGGGGCCGGCCCCGTCCTCGTCGCAGACCACGCTGCGCTGCCGCGTCCCATCCAGCACCCACGTGGCCACGCTCTGCGTGCTCCGCGGTGGCGGAGGCGGCGGCGGCGGTGGCGATGGCGGTGGCGATGGGTGCGGCGCGGTGGCGGCGGAGTCCGGCTCGCGGCCACTGCGCGCCGAGTTCAGCTTCTCGGACGACCGCGTCGCTCTCGCCGCGGAGGGTGCCTCCGTCGTCCACTTGCTCGGCAGCTACTCGTTCACCTCGCAGAGGGCGGCCGAGGCGGCAGCCGCCGGGACGGCACCGGCGGCGGGCGAGGCGGCGGGCGCTGCGCGGGGTGGGACGCAAAAGGGCCAGTCCTCGCGGGCACAGAAGCCAGACGACGCCGCCGCACGCGAGCGCGCTTGCGCGAGCGCGGCGGGTGGTGGCGGCGGCGGCGGCGGCGAGGGCGGCGGAGGCGGAGAGGGAGGCGGAGGCGGAGGCGGAGGCAGAGGCGGAGGCGGAGGCGGAGGCGGCGGGGCAGACGCGGGCGGCGGCCAGGGCGGCGGCCAGGGCGGCGGCCAGGGCGGCGGCCTGATGGAGCTCTCTAGCGGCCTGCGGTACACAGACACCGTGGTCGGCAGGGGGCGTGCTGCGGCGCGCGGAGACCGGCTCGGCAAGCCCTCGCGCCAGGAGAGGGCTGGGCCTGGCTGGGCGGGCGGTGCGGCCGACGGCCCTTGCGCCCCACCGCACAGGTGTCAAGTTCGAGGGGATGGCGTCGCACGGGCCCGGGGACTGGCGCGTCTTTGACGACAACAAGGGGAGGCAGCTCCACTTCACGCTCGGGCGCGGGGAGGTGCCGGGCTGCTTCCTAGACACCTCCTAGACGCTTCCCAGACACCGCCTAGACACTTCCTCGGGCGCGGGGAGGTGCCGGGCTGCTGCGAGGCGGCGGAGCCCCTCTCGGATCCCGCTCGGAGGCTGCCCTGTAGGTGCTGGCCGGCTGGGACGCGGGCCTGCTCGGCATGCGCTGCGGCGGCACGCGCAGGCTCATCGTCCCGCCCTCGCTCGGCTACGGCGCGCGCGGCGCCGGCCCGGTGCCTCCGGAGGCGACGCTCGTCTTTGAGGCGCGGAGAGACCGGCGCCGCCGCTCCCTCGCACACCGCCACCCAGCCTCACACTCCTGCCGCGCGCGCGTCCGCAGGTGCGCCTCCTCAACGTGCAGCCCGACCTGACGCAGCACTGAGGCCGGGAGAGCGGCTGCGGGCTGGACTCGGGCGGGCGGTGGGCGGGCGCGCCTGAAGCTCATGCGGCGCGTCGTGCCCTGTGCCCGTGGCCACCGTGGGCACGCGCGTGGCGCCTGCAGTTCGCAACGGAGAGTTTGTCTGTGAGCTCCTGCACTGCGCACAGCTCCTGCAGTCCTGCACTGGGTTGTTGCTCGGGGAGTACTACTTTGTTTGTTGAGGGAGTTACAATCCAGAGACTTCTCGAGCCCCCTCTCGTGCGCCGTTGTCGGCGACCCTCCATCCCACTCCGGCTCACGCGTCACAGCACACGGAAGTCGTCGCTGCGCAAGCGCTGTGAAGCGGGGCCGCGGGGTGGCGGGGACGTGGCCAAAAAAGGGGGGGAGCGGTGTAAGCCCGTGACCCCCCGCGTGTGTAGTAAGCTGTGTACGGTAGCGGACTCAGAGGCGCTCAGCGCCCGGGCGGCTGGAGGGCCGCGGGCCGCTGCGCGCTGGCGCTGCGCACGCGGGCCGTGGGCGCAGCGTGGCCGTGGGACGAGTCAATTTTCATTCGACTCGTGGCCCCAAAGTGCGTGAGCGGTGAGGTGTGACGGAGAACGAATAAAGAGGAAAGTACGAGCTACGACCAAATCACTAGAATCGGACTTGAAAGGCACCCCCATGATGGTCCTAGAGGGCCTGGGAAGGAATGCAAGACAGATGCGCCTCGCTCCGTGATTCCATCGATGGGAAATGTTCACCGCGACTCACGTCGAGCCACGAGCGCGCGGGACACCGATCAGCGGTCACCGCGCCGCGGCGTGCGGCGGCGTCGTGCGGCTTTTAATTTTACCTGATCGTTATCATTTCCCCCCGGGATGTGTCCTCTCTCCGGCCAAAATCACGACCTTCCCCAAAAGTGGGTGATCTGGAGCTAGCGTAGGACAGGTAGGGCCTGAGGCGGCAGTAGTCTGCCATGTCATAGGAAGGATTGTGGTTGAAGAGACGCGTGTTCATTTGTTTTATATCCTGCCCGGAGATTCTTACCTTATTTCTTTTTGACACGCCGCCCCGTGCTCTCTCTCCACGCTTTCTAGTCGGCCTCGTCGTTGTCGAGGAGAGTTTGCGAAGCCAGTGGGCGAGAAAAAGAACACACTCGGCGCGTGACATTTCCCATTGCGGAATCACGGACGAGGCGCATCTACCTGCATCCCTTCCCAGGCCCTCTAGGACCATCATGACGGAAGGCTCGAGCGTCCGTGTGCACCGCGTCGACGCCGCCTGCGACGCCCGCCCGCTCCCGGGCATGGTCAGGCCGCCCACGCTCCTTTGCGTCCCCGGCCTCAAGGAGTCGCGGTCCGGCTACCGCGTCGAGGATCGCGACGTTGTCTACTTGTGCGTGAGGCCGGGATCCGACTTTGGCACCCCTGCCTTCGCGGCGGAGTGCCTCGCCGCCGTGCGTGAGCACCTCCCGGACGACGCCCCGGTGGATGCCCTCGCCTTCTCAATGGGCTGCTCGGTGCTGGCCCAGCTCGTCGCCGCCGGCCTCCGGCTGCGCGAGGCGTCCCTCATCTCCCCCGCGGGCCACTTCAACGGCACGTGGGCCGAATCGCTGCTCCGCCGCGGCACCGCCTTTGGCAGCTGGCGGTACGGCACCGGTTTCTGGTCCGGCCTCGCCACCTTCCCCACCTACGTGGCCGGCGGCGCCAACGCGTGGGAGTACGAGTCGCTCCACCGCCTGGCGGAGCGGGTCAAGGTGTACGCGGCCGCGTCGGACCCGGTGCACCCGAACGACGTGGAGAAGTTCGCCGCCAACAAGCAGATCAAGCTGATCGAGGCGGACGGAGGCCACTTCGGCCCCAAGACGTACGTCCCGATGCTGCACCGCCGCAAGTCGCGCTCTCCGCGCCGCGCCGACAAGGCGCCTCGCCCGCTGCACAAGAAGATCCTGTCGCAGATGCTGCAGCCGTACTGGGTCGCGCACGTCGTGTGGGTGCTGTGCTGCGCGATGCTCTGCCAGTCGCAGTGGGGGATGCTCTCCTCCCACCCGCTCACGAC